CATTGCTTGAGTGCAGTATTCTGCACTATAAGAGTGAACTTGCCAACAAACATTTATCGTGCTTGCTTTGAGCCTTGTGTCGTGAAAAGCGTTTTAAAAAAACGTTTTGGTTGACACTGCAGTGGCCGTGGAACCAACGCTCTCCGTTGTTTTCCGCAAATTAAGATTAGCATTGTGTACAGTATACAGGTACAGGATTTACTGTACCTCCTCACAAGCATACTGTACAGTAACTAAATGGCAAGCAGTATGTGTAAAACAAATGTGTGTTAAATGGTTTGATTACAAAGCCCAGTAGGACTAGCCCAAAAACCCGACAGTAGAATAAAGATAATTCTCCTGAGCACAAAAAAATGGACAAGAACAAATTATTCACTGTTTTATTTACATATTTGAGCTTATTGCACTTTTTCAAGAGCAGCACGGTAGTACAATGGTTACCTTTGCTGCCTCCTAACACCGGCTTTTTGAATTCAATTCCGGCCCTGAGGTGCTATCTGTGGGGAGTTTGTGTGTCTTCTGGTTTCCACCCACAGTAAAACCATACTAGTGCGTTGATTGGCTTTTGGACAAATCAGCCCTGGTGTGAGTATGTGTACGATGTGCGACGAACTGGCGTCCTGTCCAGGGGTACCCCGCTTTTCACCCGTTGCTTGCCGGAATAGTCTCCGGCGACACTGAACTGGAAGATGGGAAGATGGATGGATTTATTTTCCGAGAACAGAGATGCAAAACTCAAAGCCTTGTTCCAATTGTTTGCGGGGTTTCCAAAATCTTGGCTGTGTGAAGATGCCTGTATAACTCGCGGTCAAGTCTTTCTGACTACAGCCTGCCCAGCAGTTTACGTTTGGGCGTTCAATTATGACTGTCTCTTCCCGACTGTGCCCTGCGGGATCAGGGAACGTCACGACCAAAGTGTGCACTGACCGGTTTTAAAGAGGGTTAAATTATTCAGCATCTAAAAAAGACGAATCAAGCGAGTGCGTCTACAACCTCCCCGAGCCCGAGAAAAAAAATGTGTTTGGAAAAGTTCGGGGTCTGAACAGACCCGTTTAAAACAAAGCTTGCAGCTTCCCAATAAGCTGCAAAAAAGAAATGTAAACGCGCTGTCGTAACCCAAATCCCATGGAATAAGTTCCCCAAGTGGCATAATTGCTATGTATTCTGCAGCGTAATGCAGAGGCTAGCTAATGGTTTAATAAAGAGGGGGCCGGTAGAAGCGTCATTAAGATTTAAAGAATGCAGTAATGCACCACGAGGAGACTGCAGTGCCTGTTTTTTTTTTTGCGCTATTGCCTCACTCTGGTGGATCAATAAAATTTACAATGCAGCATTCCAGTCTGAGCGCTCCGAGGAGCAAGTTGGAACACGACGCTGTCTTAAAGTGAAGCTCTTTATAGTTGCTGGTAACCGCAGTCTATGGCCAGGGTATACACGCTTAGCAGGGTCTGTAACAAGAGCTGCTGCCACCGAATCTAATCAGAGCCGGACAACTAAGCTCTGTTAAACACTAAATACTGCAGTGCAAGGTCGCTTTGGGTTACGGGTGCACTGCTTTGAACTGATGAGGCAGTGCTCAGCGGATTGAACACATGGCTCGCTTGTGCCTTAAGAATTATTTTTTTTTTCCAAAGCGCGCAGTCTTCGGAGAGACTTAACTCGGTTTGTAAATGCACAAGTAGCCAGCTGTAACTATTAAAAACGCCAACTTTTACCCCTAACCGTAGGAGTCCATATAGGAAATGGGATGTTTTGTGCTCAAAATTGTTTTTAGTCAGAGAGCTACCTACTGTAACCATTTTAATTAAAAAAGGCAGGAAAACGCTGTTCTTTCAATAAATACCACACAAAGCCAAACAACTGATATGAAAACGGTTTAAGAAACAGTGTAGAAGTTGAGGCAGATAGTAACCCAGCCGGCCCTCTGATATTGTAAGAGGAGCTACAATAGAGGAAGAAGGGAAACGGGTGGAAAAAGGAGGCGGATGAGGGATCTTAAACGGCCCCAGCTCTGACACGGCTCAGGGACAGACGCAGGCCTGCCTGCCAGAGAGGGGTACAGGACTCCAGAGACCAGGCAAAATTGAATCCGCCACAATTACTATTATCGCCAAGGGCATGACTGGCAGACACCGTGCATTTTTAAAGATTCCAGACCCTTCGTCTGACCTTTTCTATGATATCTGTAATCACCGAAGGATGAGTGGTACAGTAAAAGGCAGCAGCTGCTGCTGTCTGCTGTAAAGGTAAATGCCCTTGCGATTGGTTCCACAAGATGCAATTTAGCACTAACTCAATTGTGCGCGTGTTACTGAGAGCTGGCTGCCTTCCTGCACTCAGGCTGCCCCAGAGCCGGGCAGCGCCTTCTCCCCCTTTCCCCAGGATGACAGCTCTGCAGTGGGGCAGATTTGCTGCTGACGCAGTGCTCCTGCTTTGAGACAGGGCTGTGCCCTTGCTGGCGCGTCTGTTGGCAATTTCCTGCTTTCGGCCGCGTTCCTGTTTCGGCGTGTTTGTGTGTTCCCCACGGTACGCGCGCAGGGTATTCCCCTCTCACCGTGTTTCCGTGGCTTGGCTGTGGTTGTACAGCATTTGCCGTGGGTGTCTGTACGTCTGTGGTTTCCCGAGTTCCGTATCAGGTTTCACCGTGTGTCAGTCTTCAGCACGATTTGTGTTCTCTCTTTTTTTCACGTTTGCTTTCCTTTTATACAAACGAGCGCCACAGTCAGTCTTATAATAATCGTGTCAGAGTGTGTATAGGATTGTTTCATTCACAAACACTGTTTTATAGTTCCCGGTTAGGTTCCACTCCTAACAACTGTGCCTAATGTGTTTTTTTCTTAGTTCCTCCCGGAGAAGTACTGAAGATCCCTCTGAAACCCGGCTTCGTTAGAACCGACCGTCATTTTATTTACGTCAAGCTATAAGGTGACTTCGAGCGCATTAATTATCAACTGGGAGAAACAAGCTTGTATTCTCCTGGGAAACTGTAACGGTCTCTGTTGTATAGGGCATGTCCAAACCCCGTGATGCCCATTTAAAGCCAGTTGCGTCTGGGCAAGATAGATAATGACATATCCCCATTTCTTCTGGTCCTGGAGACGCCAGGGTCTTCTGGTTTCCAGTTCAACTGGAACTTGTTGAAACTCCCATTTTTACTTATGGAATTCGGCTCATGGAGGAGCATAAATGGCGAGAGGAGCTCCAGGAAGAGGGGAGACAGGTGTGGAAAGGAGGGGGCGGATGAGGAATCCTTAAGGCCTCCAGCTCTGATACTGCTCAGGGACAGACGCAGACATGCCTGACTTTATTATACTTTTTGCAATGTTTAATTATTACATTCCGCTCATTAAGCTTTTGAAATTGACTATTTGCTTGCATATTTAAAACATTTTCAGTCCTTAAAGAGTATAACAAGGGTAGAAATTAGCAAGAAACCTGTGCCAGATGCTGAGTTCCTAATATCCTCTTATGCAGGTTTCTTGTCTCATTGGCCTGGTTGAATCTAGACCAATAATCCCATATGGCACTAAAATCATTTATTATGAGAGTGTTTGACAGTGCCCACCTGTGCCTCCACACATGAGTTGGTAAACAATAAACAAGGCTTGGAAAGCTAAGGGGGAACAACAACTTTAACAGAGTTACTCACTAATTTTCATGGAAATGACCCACATAAAAGAGATTGTGAGATTAATCCCTGAGTGCAGAAGACTGTTAAAAAATCAATCAACATGTTCAATTAAGCATTCAATAAGCTTAACTGCTTAAGAGCTTAGCTGAAGTGAAAACCGAAAGACACAGGGGCACTCCCAGCTCAGGAGTCATATACAATTGAGTTAATTTAATAATCTGCAGAACATATTGCTGTAGGCCATGTCTGGACGGTAAGGATCTAGTGGCATTCTGGGTAAGCACCAGTGTGAGTGTAGTTACTCACGAGCCCTTCACTTTTTCGCTCTGAAGTTCCAGCAAACCATTCCACCAAAAACAACTTTCCCATGATCGAGGTTGATGCTGAGGGAGAGCAGGGATCTCTTTAGCTTTGCAAAGAACTTGATACTTGTTCCATTCCGTAACCAGTTCAAAATGGATCATTCCTACAGTATGTGCACACAAAAAAAAGATAATTTTTTCCAAGCTTATTGGCAGGGTAAAACCTCTTGAGGTGCATCATCTCATTTCCAAGAATAGAATACATACTGTACTGTATACAATACTTATACAAAAACAGATAAACAATTAAATCTGAAGCAGCCACTAAACTCGTAACTGTTTGCCTCATATCCTATAATCTTATTTCCATAATACCCTGGCTAAATGTAAAATACAATGATCTTTTAAGCACATGTCCTTTCACTAAATAAGCTATTGAAAAGCATTTGCACCATTTAAGGCTTGCGTTTTTTATCAGCTAGGAGGTTTTAATTGTATTTCACAGTGTCTTGCATTGTGCCTACACTGCAGAATCACGAAGCTATTTTAGTACTTGCAGGTCATTTTCATTTATTTCATTCAAACTCATTTTTCAAACCCTGACTCCACCTAAAGAGCTTTTTTTGGCATGGGTCAGCCTTCTAATTGGCTAATTAAATTTATATCTCCTAAAAGGGGATGATCAATAATCACAATCTCGTTATCAATACCGTCCCTGAGGCCTGGCTAACTTTATTGTGTCCTCCAGGGCCCAGTATTATTGATAGAGGCAGACATGGACGCTTTGACCCCTGCAGTATTAATGGAGCCCATGATTTTGCCTTGATTGGTGATGTAGATTTTATGGATAAGTGTACTTCCAAGGTCTGGGGATTGGCATTTCTTTTCAAAGGGACAAAATAAGCACATTGTTCAAAATAAAGAGATAAAGGTATGAAAAAGGATCAGAAAAATGAAAGTGATAATTGTTTTTCGGCACCCAGGAGGGTATGACAGTGCAAACAAGTGTCATCTTTTTTTATTCTGCAGTCTTTTTTTATAATATGAAATAGAAGATGAAAGAGGCTGTCTCCTTGGATAGCTATAGATACAATCTTGCATCAGAAAATAAGGGCAGGGCTTTCCTTGATCGAGACTATCGCCACCACAACTCCGTCAGAAAGACTACAGAACATGATGCATAATAAACAGAGATCAAACTAAAATTTCCCATAACGATAGCAAGACCACTGTTGCTGAGCTGAGCTGAGATTATATAGAAGTGCTTGTGAGCTCTCTGGCAGGAGATGTCTCCTTTGATTTTCACCTGACATCTCTCCCTGGAGCTCTGCTCTTGGCTTTTGGATGACAAGATGTTTGTTGCAAATAATTGTGTACCTCTAATGTTACTTTCACAGATGGTTGTAAAGGATTGTGTTTGTTGTGATAGTGTAGTCTTCATGAAGAAGTTCTCATGGTGTTGATTAGCCTCATGAAGATAAAGCATGAATACATTTATAAAGGTTGTATTTTCCTCACATGCCAAGCTTCAGTAAAATTCAGCAATGTATCACCTCCCTGGTCCTGAGGTGTGTACCTTCTCAAAGCAATGTTGGGCTAAAACTAAAATAACGACACAACAGAAGTCTTACGAGCAGATCTTCAATCTTTATTCACATCAACTGCAGGAACCCACAGCGTAAATTGAGTAAGGATTTTAACATTTCAAGTGGTCATTTGTATTCTTGAAGACACTCTTGTGTTTAATTAGGCGCATTTCGGTGACACATACAGTACAGTAAAGTGTTTAATTGCATTGAGTTCTGCAGACTGACACATAACTTGTGTTCTGTTCCACACACTCGCACGCACACACATACAGAGGCAAACATGACCATGCTAATTCTACAATATTCGCTCGCTCTTTTTTGTATTTAGCAATTTAAGGATCTTTTGCAAGCAATCAAGGGTCTCTTTTTTCTTTCGATTGTACTGATCTATTATTTATTTTTTTGCATAGAGCACCATCTAGTGGCTAGCACGCGTGTGAAGTCAGTGTCCGTTGTGGTGGGGAGTTCGTTCGTTGGCTGGAGGTCGGTTTCTCAGTTCTGGGCTCAGTCCTTCTTCTCCTCTGGCTTTTTCTCCTTCTTTTCTTCTTCCTTCTCTTCCTTTCCCTCCTCTTCCTCTTCTTGGGCCTCCTCTGCATCTTCTCCTGCCTCGGCTGTGGCCTCCGCCTCTCCTTCTTCAGCCTCTTCACCTCCTTCTCCTTCTCCCTCTCCTTCTGCCTCTGCCTCTCCTTCTCCCTCTGCTTCAGCTTCTTCCTCTCCCTCTCCCTGTCCTTCACCCTCACCCTCATCCTTCTCTCCTGCCTCTTCCTCTCCCTCTTCCCCAGCTTCCTCTTTCTCTGCCTCCTCGGCCTCCTCTTCCTCACCGCCTTTGGGAACAACGACAAAAACAGGTCAATGTTAAGAATGATGGGAAATAGAGGCTCTGCACCGTCTGAAAGCCCTGAAGAGAAAGACTAGCGTCAGCTGTGTCTTAAATCAGTCTTCCATGTGCTTTCCTCATCACATCGAATCTGGGATACCCAGAAACCTGGATCCAGACTAAAAGACAGTGAGGGAACTCTCTCATATGTTCTATCCATGATCCATGACATGCTGGTTTTAATAGGAATTCAAATTGAATATCATTCTAACCCACACAATTCCTCATTTCCTTTTACGTATTTGTGCAGGCCTGAAAATATTTAATATGTTTTACTTTGAAGTGGGTCTTTTAAATTATCACCTTTAAATGGCTATGAAAAGGAATCATACGTGTCTTTGAGCTCATTAGGACCATTATGGTAATGTAGAAGCTTAAGGGGAGAGGAACAATAGAAACCTCTCATACTGTTTTTGTTTTTTGGGGGGGTGGAGAATGAAAAAAACAGAGTGCAGCCAATTACTTCTAGAATCCCCAAATCTAGAATAGTCCAATTCTACAGGTTTTTATGCAATCCTGGAAAGGATTGGGTTGGAAAGGAAAGGATTTTAATTTCCTTACCCTAAACCACTAAAAGTGCAGTTGACCGAAAAAGGCAAACTTGTTCATTACTGTGGGACAAACCTTCCTCGGCAGCCTCTTCCTCTCCCTCCTTCTGTTCCGCCTCCTCCTCCGCCTCTTCCTCCTCTGCAGGCGGGGCTGCTTCGGCCTGCTCTGATTGGCTGGCCTGGATGACTTCCTCCACCTCCTGGGCGTGGCTGGCAGAAAAGGCGGAGCTCAGCAGACGGCTGCTCAGCAGGTAGGGGGCGCTGATGCTGCTGGCCGAGCTGCTCTGGAGGGAGAAGAGCGAGCGGCTGAACATGGGGGCCGCGCTCTGGGTGAAAGTGCTCGCCATGCCTCCAACGCTGAACCGCGTCTCCTCCCCTTCCAGCAGTTTCCTGAGGGAGAGAGAATACGAGACCCCACGTGAGCTGAGCAGATAAGAACAGATACCCACAAGAGGAGACCCATCCAGCCCATTAGGCATCATTTCCCCCCAAAAACAGGGTACTGGCTTCAAAACAACATGGCTGGGTATGGGAATTCACCATACAGAAACTCCATATAGTCAGCAGTGTATTCCCCATACATCACTTCCTCTAGTTGCTCTAAAAGGCCTGCCCCCATTGATGAATAATTCACTATTTTTCGTTGTCCTTTGGAGCTCTATCAGTACAACAAGTGCACAATGTGCCCTTTTACATCAGCCTAGAGGATCAATATTGTCTGCTTGTCAAATGAATGCCAGTTTTTTACCCTGGGGAGAACCTACCCACTTTTTGCTGAAGGCTGCTCTTATATCCCATGATCTGCACTGGGCTCGGTTTAGAGGCAAACATTGGCCAGGTGATCTAACACCAAACAGCCCAAGAGCCGTGTGACCTTCCGAAATTCAGAAATGAAATTACTGTACCTGTAAGCTGCGATTTCAATATCCAGAGCCATCTTCACATTGAGCAAGTCCTGGTACTCCTTCAGGTAGCGCGCCATCTCGTTCTTAGTGCTCCTCAGCTCGTTCTCCAGCTGGCTGATGGTTTCCTGCAGAAGCAAGGAAGAAGAGTAATTCCAGGAGCTGCCAGGGGCCGACTGGTAGAGGCCGAGGAGTTTCCTGAAAAGTTGGAGCGTTAATGGAATCCTGCCTTTTAAGAGAGGCGTTTGTTATTGTGCTTGTTAACCAGCCTAAAAAATATTCTACTCTCATATTAATATTCTGTTTTCTCCCCTGCAACTGAAGTGCTGGCCAGGTTCTATGAAGAAAGAACTGATGTCATTTCAAAGCTGAAATCCACTGAGCAAAGCCTGACACAAGCCCTAGTCTGTAGATCAGTTGAATTCTGGGATCTTTTGTTTAGTGAAGGAGGAGAGGGCATTAGGAATTTCTGTGTAGCGCTAATATCACTAAAGAGTTAGTATGCAATGCCCGTTGAAAACGAATAAAATGCTACAACTGCCAGGACAGATCTCAAATTGGGGACTGCATCCATTTTCAGACTGACTGTTCAATCGCTGTGCTGGCATTTTCTCGGCTTTAAATCACATTTGTTGGCAGCATTCAAATGGACCATAATAATAACAGGAAAGAATACAGATCGCCATACTGCAGGCAAGCCATGAGGAGCTTTGGGATCCTGCCACCTCAAGGATTAGCAGAGCAGATCCCCCTAGGGAAAGAGACACTGATGGATGGTGTTCTGGGAAATGCCAGCAGCGCTCATGAAAAGTGCCAAGAGTGTGCATTTTGATTTTTTCCTGTGTCGCTTTCTCCCTGTACAGGATTTGCAGAATTGGCAGTAGGGGCCAGTGGTGGAGGTATAGGGCTGTATCAGAACCAGGAAGGTCATGGCTTAAGCTCCAAGCCTGCCAGAGTCCACCACTGGGGTGGTATGTAAAAGAGATTGCCTAGAGAGTGTCACTTAGCAGGTAGTTGATGTTTTTATCACATCCTATCCTGTGCAAGTTAATTGGAATTAGAGCATCTGCTCAGTAACTATCATTAGTTCTTTAGTGTCCTGTACATACAGCATTAAGGATGGACAGGCTTTGCTCTCAACTCCTCCACTTTTTCCTTTTCCTGTGTTTTGTCAATGGCTTTGTATTTCGACTGCAGAAGACCTGTCACTCTGCAGGCTTGCTCTCCAGTAACCAATTCATTTTAGTGTGCTGTGAGCCCCGGGCGTCCGCAACACCGCAGAGGAAGCTGTCCCTGCCTGCAGCATTCTCCTGGTGGAAGACATGCAAAGCTCACTCGACAATGTGCTAGGCACAATTGAAAGCACTCAAACCTGTCTCACGAAAAGAAGAAGCTCCGCTCCTGTTCAGCTACTGCAATCGTGTGCTGAATAAAAAAAATATTATTAAGATTATAAGGGAAGCTCCTCTCACAGCACCGCACATCTCCGGTAAGCAAAAAAGTCTCTGCTCTCTCTCTTTTTTCAGCTGTCATCAACAATAGCACCGTGTGCTGTGAGTGATCTTTTTATCAGAGGGCTGTACAATTGACTCTGGGCAGTATGAAGACAGCCTGCTACTGCTTCTGCAGAAGTGCAATGTGCAGTACAAACTTCTCAAAGAACTCTCTAGATGTTTGGAGATTTTCTAGTCCATCTATCGCAGATGAACCATAAACCGTCAGATGGATTTAATGTGAAACTAAATACAGAACTGAGTGTCTCAGCAAAAGTCTGTAGACATCTCTAGTACCTCTCTGGAACGGCTGAGAGATTTTTCTTTTCCTGGTCTCGCTAATGTGTCTCTGGCCCTGGTCCACTTTTCTTCTCAGTAACAAAGAACAAGAAACATAAAGTGTGGAGCAATCCCAATTAACCCTTTCTCTGCAGCTGTTCTGTTTCTCTGACATCTGCCATTTCAGTTTGGGATATAGTCGGTTTTAACTCTTATTGATCATGACAGTAGAGAGACGGATACTGCAGTTACTAACTCTCCATTGAGTAGATGCCATGAAGTTTCATTCCCCTGGCTGACCAGACAGAGAAACGGTCAAATACAATGCAATCTTCCTCTGTTTTTGTGCCTATCGTATTGGTTACAAAAACTTGCATTAAAGGCAGGCAAAGGCTAAGATAAAAAAATCTAGATAGAATTCTAGCCTGATCCCAAAGATCAGATTACTGATTTGTTTTAGAAATTGGAGAGATTATGTGGATATATAAAGTATATACAACTTAACCATGGAAGAAATGACAGTAAAAGTTGTATATGGAAGTTATACCCTCCACTTGCACTACAAACACTGACCTGAAGAGCGGCGATGTCAGCATTCTGCTTCTCCTCCAGATCCTGCAGCTGTTTCTCCAGGGCCTCGTTCATGCCCCGGCACGCCTCGATCTCCAGGCTGCGAGCCTTGAGCTGGCGCCGGTATTCGCCCACCTCGTCCTTGGCGTTGCGCACAGCGTCGGTGTTGCGGGCCGCCGTCTCGGTCAGCACGGTGAACTTGCTCTTGAACCAGTCCTCGGCGGCCTGCATGTTGCGTGCGGCCAGCTTCTCGTACTGGGAGCGGATGTCGCGGAGGGCAGCAGAGAGGTCGGGCTTGGCCACCTCCATCTCCACGGAGATCTGGGCGTACTGCACCTGCGCCTGCAGCTCGGCGATCTCCTCCTCGTGCACCCGCTTCAGGAAGGCGATCTCGTCCAGCAGCGTCTCGGCCCGCTTCTCCAGCTCGGCTCGGCCGAGGGCAGCCTCGTCTGCCACCTTGCGGGTCTCCATCAGCCGTCCCTCCGCTTCCTCGCGGCTCAGCACTTCCTCCTCGTAGCGGCTCTGCAGGCCCCGCAGGGCATCCTCCAGGCCGTCGCGCTCGTTCTGTGCCGCCTGCTTCTCGCCCCGCGCCTCTTCCACGGCGGCCCGCAGCTCCCGGATCTCGTGCTCGTACAGCGCCTGGAGCCGGGAGGGCTCCACGTGCTTCTGCCGGAGCACCAGCAGCTCAGCCTCCAGCACCTTGTTCTGCTGCTCCAGCTCGTGCACGCGCTCGATGAAGCTGGCGAAGCGGTCGTTCAGCTCCTGCAGCTGGGCTTTCTCCTGGGTGCGGACGGTCTTGAACTCGCTCCCCACCTGCGTGGCCTGGCTCAGGTCGAAGTCCGCCGCCATGAGGAGAGAGGAGGCGGAGGAGGCGGAGAGGCCATAGGGGCGGTGGCGGGCTGTGCCCACCGAGGTGGACAGCGGAGCCGAGTGGCTGGAGTAGACCGAGCGGGCGCCCCCGTATCCTGCGCTGCGCACCCCGGAGATGTGCACCACCCTGGGGCTGCTCTCCACATATCGGCGCTTGTAGGAGGTGAAGTAGGGGTCGTAGCCAACGGAAGTCATGGCGGCGTGAGGGCAGGGGAGTTCGGTTGCCGTGTGCACTCAGTGCTGTTACCGCGGCGGTGCTGCCTTTATACCCCTGGCAGGGCTCTGACGCAAGCACTTTTCCACTGACAGCGGCGATCAATAGCTGAGCTCTCAGCCAAAGCTTAGCTTGCAGATGGGAGAGAGAGAGAGAGAGGCAGGACTCTGTTTCTGCCTGGAGAGGAGGGAGGATTAGAAGGAGGGGGGAGAGCAAAGGAGAAAAGGAAGGGGCTTTTTTTCCTTCCTTCCTGCAAGGGAATTTGAATTCAAGTCTTCTCCTGTGATCCGACTTTTACTTTGGCTCTTTGGGAGTCTCACAAGCATGAGAGGATGAGTGTGAGGCTCGTGCGAAGCCACATTCATGCATTTCAGCTGTATTGCTTTCTTGAAATCATGTCACGACTGTGCAGTCATGTAAATTAGGGCCATGTCCCGAGCTGTCACTCTGGGATTGCAAGCGCTACGAAGTTGTCACTAAGCAAAGTGAAATGGCTCTGGTGGTGTGTGCCAGTTTTTAAGCCGCAGGAACAAAGACAATAAGACACTAAATGGAAATTTCTAAAACATGAACCTGTCTTTATCATAGCTCGGGATATTGTACTTATATAACAGCATTTACAGCCCAAGCCTGTTCTAGATAACACTCCATTTATAGATTGTAGAACAGTAAGGGCAGGTATCATTGTCCTGTTTTAGTAATAACAGTATTTAGGTATAGACTGCAGGAGCAGGAGACTCAGGTCAGTGTGTGAAATGTGAAATTGAGAATCTGGGGCCCATTCACTTCAGTGTCTCACTATTGTAATAGTAACTACGGCAGACGATGCAGTGTCTTGGCTACAGCCAAGTACTTAAACAGATGGCTTGTGCTGCACTCTGCAGAGTACAGCAGCAGGTAGCGGTGATGTGTAGACCGAGCAGTCTCAGGGCGGACGCAGGAGGCTAGATGCTCAAACCTGGGAGTCTACAGTCTGGGTGGGAACGTGTCGCAGTCAAATTGGGGGGTGGAGTGTAACTGAGTAGCCGCTGTAGCTGTGCAATTCGTTTTCAGGCACAGTCCTCTGCTCCCTGGAGTCTTAGATCATCTCAGCCACCCTTCAGATCAGCATTTGTAATTGACAGTGCCGACGATTGTGTAGCTATCAACAGAGGTTATTAAAAGAAGGCATTTATCACTGAGGTCCACTAATGATTAGCAAACTGCTCCTAATAGTTTGCAGACTACCTCTGGGGATAAATGCTTAGCTCCTGGCTTATTTCATATTTATAGCTTGTGTGCAATTTTAAAGTGTCATTTCCAGCACCAGGAGATGGTAAACGTTACCTTTCCATCGTGGGTCTTTGGGATTTGAAGGAACTTTGTGCTTATCTTCCAGTTGTCTCTGTCAGTCCGGATCTTTTCAACCAGTCCGGTGATTGCAATGTTCTTAGTTAAATGTTTTAGCTGGCGCCTGCACGAACACAATATTTCAAGATCAATATATTGCAGAAAGTGCAGTTTTGAATTTCTCTTATTTCCTCATTCCTACCCAGAAATATTCTGTTTTTAAACTCCTTGGCAGGGAGGAAAATATCTCTCTTTGCACAGGCGCTTGAACCATTTCAGGTTTTACAAACTTAAAGCTCTTCTGTTTGAACCAGTAGCAAGTGCTGGATCACTTTGGCTTCTTGCCTTATTAGCAGGACATTTGCATAGGCATTTAGAATTATCTTAGATCAAAAATACATGCAAACATATGTGCACTTCACTGGAGTACTGTACATCTGGTAAAATCTATAAAGGATAAAACTGCTGTACATTGGAAACCGTCATTATATTTTAATATATAGTATATGTATAATTCCTCTATGATAAGCCCTGGTTGTTTGGTGGGTCTAACAGGCTTTCCAATAGGATTTTTGTACAGTACAGAAACACTGTTGTTCCTCTTGCCACCTCAGATGCAGAGGGAAGGAGCATTGTGTTATTCTACCAGATGAACACACTAGGAGCCTGTTTTTCCCTGTAGTCCACAAATGACCATGTGATTCATTTATTCTGGAGAGGGCCATTTGCCCACAGTTTAAGATCTCCTTTCTGACTATCAGACAATCTTAATCTCTAACATTGTATTTTACAAGTGTGCGTTAAAAGAAAAAAAATTATGGCCTTGTTATTTTCTGAGAGGGATATTACTGGCGTGTGTGAAAAATGTGAAACATTAGGCTGTAGAATCAAATTTGATAACTGTTTGCAAAGCATGATGGGTCACAATGAGTAAAAACAGGGGACATTTAAATAGGGCCTATAGAGTTAAAGAAAACAGAAGCAGAAACATTTTAATTAATACGGTTTTATGTGATGCTACACTATCAATGAGAAAATGTTGCTTTTCAGCAAGGACAATATCTCTGAGAGTCATTCTGCTCAGTCAGGGTTTGATCAGCGATCTCATGACTGCAGGATTACATTAGTTAGGCTCAGTTAGCATCTTTAGAAATCAAGGACCAATTAGCAAGGCAGAGAAGCCGCTGTGGTGTTATCTGTCGATTAGCTCTTGCTGGTCTCTTGTAGGAAGCCTGTTTCAGTGATCTTCCACTGCCCCCACACAGTTCCCTCTCGGTATCTTTCTTTCAACTGATTTAATTCCATCTCTCATCTTCAAGCTCAGCGCTTTGACAGCTGCTCTGTGTGTACCTCTCTCTCCTATTTAGTAAAGCCTAGGGAAAATAATTGATTTAAGATCTGAGTGAATGTGTGTGAGCGAGTGGCCCCAGTTTACTTATAGACACTAAACTTAAATTTAAACTTTAAATGTTACTGTGAATTTAAAATTTGTAAATCATTCTTAGCCATGAAAGTGATAACATCACTCAATTTGTTCTGGACTGGACTTTTAGAACCCATTAATCATCACTGAGTGAAAAAAACTTTCTGTGAATTGTCATCATTGCTTGTTGTAATCCAGTTGTTGGCGAGTATACAGTATCTTAAAATTTTAAACTAGGTATAGGAACTAGCAATACAGCAGGCTTCCCCTAGTCATTTCCTCTGGTGTAATTTATTTCCAAAGCTAAGTTTGCTGGAACTGTTACCCAGCCTGTCAGCATGGAAAAGTTGGTCTTTGTTGAGATAGAATCATGCAGTGCTCCTGTAGCAAGATAGTGTAATGAAAATCACAGAAAGTGTAGATCCCATGAGTGGTAGGTACTGTTCCCTTAAATCTACTTTTTTTTTCTTGAGTGATTGTCCTCTGGCCATCAAAATCTGGAATCCAGCCAACCCCAGTCCCTCTCATCTTCTGCCTTGCAGATTGCTGCACAGTGGAGAGTGTGGGGACTGGTTTACTGCAGTGTGCTTGTGAGCTACGGCATCGATCTTGTGCTAATGAGCTGGGAGGAGACAGCAGAATTACGCTGTGGGGCCAGTGGGCAGAGAGAGACAGATCACAGCAGGATCACAGAGGGGCTGTAAATCACAATGGCACAGATTTAATTTAATGACACAGTCTCTAAAGAGATGGGTGGTCTTGCAGATACAGTAGTTACTCACTGATGTGCGGTATTTTGTATCTGCCCCCTTTCTCCTTCTATAGGCACCTTCAGTCAGAAGGAATTAATTAAGACTGAACTTAATTGAACTAATTAAGCCAATAATTGGTTCAATCAAGAAATTGAGAGCTGGAGTATAAGGAAAAGCAGAGTTTTGGAGTTCAGGACTAGGGCTGGAGACCCTTGAAACCGAAGATTCAATATGAAACATAGCTTTACATTACTCCCTGGCACCCAATTACCGGAATTTCTAATTGAATTTGTAGCAGGGCGGGTCTTTAGGTCGATCATCTGATTTATTAGATTACTGAAATCACATTTCTTATTGAACAGCTGTGCTGTCTTAAGAGCTGGCTGGGCCAACATGCCCAGAATGGAAAACAATGGATTGAAAAGGCTAGTAAATCAACTGCCTCTGTTCTGCTCCGTTCCAGTCCAGGTCTTTCAACAAGCGCCCCGTTAATTTAATTACAAATTAAATTAGTTCTAATGAAATACTGATGAAACGTGTTGGAAGCTTTCTCACTTTCGAAGCAGAGATCAGTTCAACTAAGGTGGCACGTCAGTCAAAAGGATCACATACTGTACGTTACAGCAGGTCAGTCCTTGGAGCACGTGACTTGGACGTGGCTACATTTGACTGGACACAGTTAGGTTCCCCTGTGCATGGAGGCATGGCAGGTAGCATTTTTGCCTTAGCTCCTGCTCTGTAACTCCTGTGTTCCATTCTGGCGTGGGGTGCATTGTGTGTGGTATTTGCATGGTCACTCTATAGTAACATTGAGGTTTCCTCCCACAATTTAAGGACGTGCTGCCTAGGTTAATTGCAAATGTGTTTGCACATCTTGGGATGGATTGCCAACCCATTGAGGCTGGGTCCTGCTGTCCACCCACAGACCTCTAGATGGGGGCTTCACCCTGTCTCGGACTCAGCTTGCAGATTTGGAAGCCTGGTTGTGCAGCCTGTCATGATCAATGAGCAGGGCGTTAGAAAGCTAAAGCTAACTCCTCCTAATTAAGCACTTTGGCTCACCAGGAACAAAACCTGAACCAGACTTCAGGACTAAGCGGTTAATGAAGGGTGGATGGTCATTCTCAAGCTAAAGATGTTGCGGCTCAAAGTAATTCATTAGAATGGAACCATTTTAACTTGAATGTGCCATAGCTGGTCAGACGTCCAGTGCTTTTAGCTCAGTGCTGAAGCTTTATTGATACCACCCATGTAGAGAAAAGCAAAGCGCTGAATAACTTGCAGTCATGTATATACTGCCCACTAGTGGTGGGAATGCAGTATTACATTTTGACAGACAAGTGCAATCTAATTATGAGCATGTACAAGTGCTTGACGACCAGAGACGCAGTCAGACATTTCCTTAGCCCCATCACATAGTGCAGTGGTTTTCAGTCCTGGTCCTGGGGGACCCCTGTGTCTGATGCTTTTAACATGAATGACTGCTGGTAGAAGCTTGTTATCAGTTTGTGGCCAACATCCCATTTCCTTAAGTAAAACTGGAGAAATACCTCCAGTACTGATGGTATATCTAAAGCACCTTTAGGATC